ACTGGTTTTGTCTTCCTGCCAATTAACATCCTTAGGGCCACCATCTCAGGACATCAGGCTATTGATGCAAATCCTTCCCACTGTGAGATTAATCTTATTATTTACAACAGATGTAGGATGTTAGGATGGGCTGATACATTTTTATTTTTGTCCAAAATGTGATTTTTTTTTTCCTTGATCTGTTCTGCATTACGCAAATACATGAAACAGCAATTAAAGCCAGCACTGTATAAAGTTGCAGATGAGATGAAAAAATAAGCACAGGGGCATGCAAACAGAGAAATACACCCCATCAACTATATATGTCCACGGTAAATATAAGTGCATTTTAATCATTATCATTCTAGAAGGAAACTTCAATGAAACTTAGACCCAGAATCATTGGATTTAGTTGCCATAAGCAGAACTGACATTGACACGCTCGCTAGTCTTATCCCACTTCTTGAAAGGTTATGTTTTACCATGAAGTTTTGCAAATGAAATTTTCCTGTCTGCTTAGGAAACATCACTCTATAACATCGGAAATGAACAGTTTGACACCTGTCCCACGCCTGACAAAAATCGTTAAAAAGACATTGTTCTTTATATTAGCCAGATCCTAGTTAAAATATATAAACTTTCCTTTGAGCAGAGATTGGAACGTACTTGATGATTGAAGAAATATGATTCCTCCTATCCTTATGAATTTGCTGATTTTGGAGGTGGGGGAAAACGGGAAGGAGTGGTGCTGTTGTACAGGATGGGCTGGAGTTGGCATACTTCAGAGGGAGGCACTGTTTAGAGTAACAGCAGTAAGCTAGAAAGGACAGTGTATATCAGGAGGTGGGAGCCAGACCTCGTATCCAATGGGCTGGTGCTATATCACGAAACAGTCACAGTAAAAAAGGTAGAAAAGTCTCCTTTTTTCAGCTCTGTTACTGTATGCAGTAAAGAAAAGATTTCTCATTGCTTTCTTACTCTAGTATCAATCAAATATTGCTTTTCAAATGTGGATCTCTGCATGTGCACAAGTATTTGTACCAAGCTTCAGGCAAAACTTCCCGGTCTGCCATCACAGCCATCAGCATCTCCCCTTCCCCAAGCACTCCTGGCACAGCAGGAAGCGTTTGTACTGGAACCTCCGCACTTTTAATAGCAGAAAGCTAATGAACTTTTGCTTCACAGGCACAATGCTAAGTGGCACCAGATGAGTATCTGGTCCAGATGTGTGGTGTGATGAACACAAAGATTTTACACTGGCTCTGACCCTTTTACATTGGCAAAAATACCATAATGCTGTAAAACGCATGGAAATCCCAGTATCTGATGGGGAACAAGACAGTTATTTATGTGGAATATCTCAAAGACTGGTAGAGGTACGTGCTTAGGATGTAAGAAGACTGTCAGATGAATATTATCAAATTACTGAGCATCCTCACAGCACAGGGGTGGGCTCCAGGACCATCTGCACAACAGTGTGAAAGGAGAAGAGACGTGCTGGGGTCAAACACAGCTAAACAGATGCTGCGTGTTTCTCACCTGGATTACGTGGTGCTTGCTATTCCTCACTCGCAGTAAATAGCTGCGCTTACCGCATTTTTATTTACATCCTTATTGTCTGGAAACCACCCTGTGAGGTGCATCACTCTTGCCTCCTGGGGCTGCCCACCTTGCAATGTGTCTCCTGATCACAGGGCCTGTACCTGCAGCCTGGGCAGCCGACCAGAACCTTGCTTTCACTTAGGTAAAGCTGAGCATGCCAAGCAGAAACTGCTCTCCCTTCAATGGCTACTCTCAATGACAGCAGCTGCAGTGAGCAACCACTGCAATGCCTGCCCGAGCGAAGAGGAGACTGAACACACGAGAGCCTTTGGCTAGCAGAGAAGAATAAAGTAAAACGCTTTTTCCTCCTACTCATTTCTGTCTTCACTCAAAACTGTTTCCGACAACTTAAACTGGACATGTATATGTCCAGTTTTCTTTATCTCCTAAGTTTGAAAAGAACAGTGTGCATTCTTATTAAAGATGGATTATGTGAGGTGAAACAACCTGATCGGCTATCCTGCTGGCATGGAAGCTGTGCAGGGCCTTTCTGCACTCAGAAATGGCAGGTTTCAGCAGCCTCCAGCCAGGAATGGAAAAACAGATGTAAAGAAGTAAGCTAAGCCTATGGCATCTATTTGGTTCCAAGAACCACTCAGCCAGTCTTATTGTGCAGGGTAACTATATAAATATCATAGTGTAAAACAGTCCTCAAGGAAAGAGTCATATTTTTCACCTGTTTACAGGTGTGAGAGCCAGGGGTTTGATTTTCTTCTTTTCTTTTTTCTTCTTACCTACTTTTCACAGATAACATGGCTTCTATAAAGTTCTCTCTGGCACACACTTGCTGGTAAGTATAAGGGTAAGGGAGACATCTTCATGCAACCTTTAGTTTACTGCAGAGTTCAGTGCAGCACTTTGGGGAAAAAGGCCAAATGCTGGTTTACATGCATTGAATCTCATATAATTTATCTAAATTTCATAAGAGTAAAAGAAAGCTGAATTTTTGGTCCTCCTTCAACTTGTTTCACTAATTTTTCTAGTTCTTTGTACTCTACCGTTTTCAAGAATATGGCTGAGGGAAATGACTACAGACTACATGTAGGAGTTGCCTTGGCAGACAATATAGAGATCTATTTTATGTAATTATAAGGCTGGAAGAAACAAAACCTTGTCTCTGGAAAACTACTTCAACTTTTTCCCTCTTTGTAAGGAGATTTGTATTTGCTCGATAATCTAAAATGTCCTGAAGTCCTATAAAATGGCTATTAGGGGAATATTTAACATGATTTTGCCTAAGTCCACTGTAAAAACATGCAATGACTTCTGTAAAGTGATAGGAGCAAATTAAAAACATATGGAGTTCTTCATTCTATGTTTGGTCATTCTTTTTTGGCTCCCCTCACACTGGGTCTCACTGGGAGCTGAATATGCCGTAGGCTAGTGTAAGTTATAGAAGTCCTAATGTTCTTCTAAATTATGACCGCTGTCATGGGTTGTGAGGCCAAGATCCCCAGAGCACAATGAATCCCAATTCTCAGCTTACTGTTATCACTGATAATACAATATCAGCAGTATTAGGAGAAAAAAGCAGGTATACCTTAACACTGTACAAATCTGAATGTAAGTGTAATTCAGGTGTTACTTACCTTCCAAATTCAGAGCTACCACTGCTGTATCATCCTCTAATCCTTCAATGACCTCGCACTTATATCTTCCGTAATCCTCCAGTATTATGTTTGTGATTGTAAGAGAGGCATCGTTTTCACTGCTTTCCCTCAGAAACACTCTGCCCTGGTAGTTTCCGTAGCTCTTTCTGTGATGTCCCATTGCAACAAAGACATCCACTTCTTTGAGGTAATCTGAGGTGAGTTTGGTCCACTTGACCCGGATTTTGTGGGTTCCTGAGCCAGCTGTTGATGTGTGTTCATGGTAAAATTTACATGGCAGTGTGACATTGCCACCCCGGTGTGAGAAGATTTTAGCTTGCTCTGCTACCACAAGTAGACGGGGTCCATTTTCTGTTAGGATTCAAGGAGAAAAACAAAAACAAGAATTAGTCTGCAATCTACCTTTTACGGAACGGATATGATCAATGCCATAACAATCATCAGCTATATTATACATTAGGTCTGCAGAATCAGTTCCCTGCAATCATTCTGTACCTATGCGGTAGTAGGGCATATAAACCAGCCATATACAATTATTTACTTAACTGCAAGTATGTCTGTGTGTGTACACTCCCAGACAGGCAGAGAGGCAAACTGGTTCACAGCATTGCCCATTCATATAGGCAGAGGCCATCCTATATACTCCATAGTCATGAAGATAGAGTTGTATCAATATATTGATAGAGTTGTACAGCTGGTAGATGAATGCCATCATCCATAAAAGGCTCCACACAAAAATCCCATATTTCCCTGCAGGTTGTTCCAGAGCTGTCCATCAATGCTGCATTTTTATTCATAATTCAATTTTTATGTATGGACTCAGCTTATTCAGGCGGCAGCATACAAAGCCCCTCGTGATCTGGGATGCAGTGAATCACGCTCACAAAACCATTATTGTATCAAATAGCACTATTTATATTGACATGAAAAGTGCCAGCATAACGCTAAAGTGTTTCACTTTCTATATGTATTTTCTTCTAATATTTGAGTTCAAGTTCCTCTTCTGACATATTTCCACCAAAGTAAGGAAGTCCTATTTATCTTCAAATGTAAAATTTGGTCCTGTCCCGACCCCTTTCCTGATCATCTCAATCTGTTTTTTTTCCAATCTGTTTTCCTCATCTCTTTCAAACTCATCACTATTTTATCTTTGATATTCTGATCTCACTTTTCACACAAACCCGTATTTAACTGGCTGGCTCCTCTCCCCCTCCCCCTCACCCCAGACTCCCTGCTCTCTTTTCTCTCTAGTAGGTCACTACAGCTGATGTTGCTCTATGAAATCATTATGTTTAGGATAGTCAGCTTGAGCAGGTGCTTGGCTTCCAACCTTAAGTCTCTGGGGCTTCTTTGACACGCTGTGCTGCCCTGGGAAAACCCCGGAAAACACAGATTTCATGGTGACAGTCAGCAGATGTATCCAAAAGTAAGAATATTTCCTTCTTTCAGTAACTCTTCCCTCTTCTCTCATGCGTGGCTTGCAAAATTGATTTAGCAAGCTCGATGCTTCTGTAGATATTGCCAACCTCTATCACTGAGACACCGACCAAAACGAGCAATGGATCACCAGTGCTCTGCTTCCTGGGAAAAACCTCACTCTACATAACAGATTCAGAAGAAAGACTTCATAACTCCCTATATGTGTTCAGCAAGTCAAAGTAACCACCTAGAAATGCGATTCCCGACTTTAAGGCTCGGTCTGGCTCTCTTTAACTTCAGCAAAAGACAAGGCTAAGTTCCCAAATGTGAGGGCTGCTGAGAGGCTGACCCCATGAAGGCCAGCAGCAATCTTCTGCTGGCATCCATGGGGTTGAATCTGGATTGACAGAACAAAACCACAGAAATGAGTGCAAAAATGTCATCAGCCAGCAAGAGGTGTGGGTGACTGAAGGAGGGAAGGACTGGGATGGAGATGGGCTGGCAGATGAGGCGGTGTGATGAGCGCACCAGGGAGTATCCCACCCGGCCAGCTGTCTGTTCACAGCACTGCAAAAACCTGCAGTGTGTCCACAGCCATGGGGGGTGCCGGGAAGCGTTAGGATCTGTAGCTCATAAATGTCTCCAGACAGTCCTAAGCTTCTGAGTCTTGTTGACAGGTCTGCCAGCTAAATGATATATTCATGTACATTGCAGTTTCAGCTTGACTTCACTATCTGTCCATGCTGGCTATGGTAAGCAGCAGAAGAAACCCCAGGGTATGCAGCATTTTATGATTATGCAAACATGTTCAGGGTGGTAATTGCAAAGACAAGCTCGCTGAGTGCAAACTTGCATCTGCTTAAGAAAAACAGGTATCCCAAATGTGTAGTTCTTTGCCAGGAGATGTTATGTCAAGAGCATTATTACCTGCACAGGTCAGACTAGCCAGGGCACCAGCTTCCTCAAGAATGAACAGGCTTGAGCACTGCAAGTTGTTTTACCAGGGTGAGAGACCTCCCTACCTAGTGAAAAATCATTACTGCAGAGCAGATCCTCTGCAGCTCCATATAACTGGTTTTCTTTTTCACTGCCCTTCTTCCCAGAGGTGAGCAGAGGCTCGGGGCTGCTCCAATAACCCATCTTCCCCCTTTCAGAGGAGAGCATCCAGGGAGAGAGGTGATCCAAGGCAAGGCACCATGGAAAGCGTTGCTAACACTGTTTCCACAGGACGAGGAGAAGGAAGAAAGTGAAGGCAGCCAGCATGGTTTGTCTGTGAGTTTCCCTGTTTCCTTCAAGAACAAAGATGTTCCACAGACTTCTGTCCACCTTGGGAGGAGAAATGTTATGCTTTGGGGTGGTTATTACCAAGAAATCTGAATCAGAGCTCAACTATGTTGGGTCTTTAATACTGAAATAGTCAAGTTAATAAATATTAGCAGAAAGGATTGGGGCAGGAGGGAGAGTCTGACTCAGGCTGCTAACTCTCGCTCTTTCTAACAACAGCCAGTCTGTGCCAGCAAGGCCTGGAGGCTTTCCCAGAGCACTGTCACCTCTGACTCTAGCATTAGCATCCTGATGCGGTGGTGTGCCTCTTTCCTGGCTGCTTCCCACCTCCTCCGGCCCTTTGCAGCAGCCATTGATTGAGTTTATATCTTAGTAAGTCTAAAGAGCAGAAGGGATGGCAACCTGGGAAAGGAAAGAAAAGCATGACTTTTCTCATCCTGGAACATCTCCTACGTCCCTGGAGTTTCAAAGAGAGATGCAACGACTGAAATATGCCTCCACCCTCAAGTTTTCTAAAAGCCAATTCCTTTTTACAGAAAAAGAGATGATGTGCCCTTCTCTCTGACAAGACAGTGGGGCAGGAAATAACATTGCTGCTTCCAGATCTAGGAGAGGAGGGAGGAAGAATCTCTGGCTTTTGAGGAAAAGCAGATGTCATATTGGGGGATGCTGCATAGTTTCTTTTTGGGCTAGAAGACATGCAGAAGGCATGCAGGCAGCAAGGATTCAGGATTAAAAATGAGATGACTGGGGTTTGGCAAGAGGCCACAAGGTCTTTATTATCCAGCAGTCAGTGAGAACCAGGGCCAAATTCACCTAACTGCATATTTTTGGGAGCATGGCAAAATGAAGGGTCTTGGTCTTTCTGCAGTTGACAGAGAAGGAGTTAAAAAACCCTTACAACAACCAAGAAAATGCCCAAACACAGAGCAAACCAGAATCCCTGCATTTACAATACATTTAGCACTCTGGATGCAGCATTCTAGCTTACTGCTGTGAAAGTCAGCTTAAATGAGGAATGAATGCTGCTTCTTGGGTTACCTTAATACAATGAGCAATGGTCTGTTGTGAAATGGTGATCTGATCATGCAAGATGGGGTAAACACTGTTTTAAAGGCTTGTCAGAGTGGCTGCTTTCCTCATGGGGTTTCTGACAAGGCTGCTCCTTCTGAATAAAATTATCTTTGTATCTAAATGTCAGGAATATCTAAAAGATGAGTGCAAGATAGAAAAAGATGGGGCACACGAGTGTTATCCAGCATGTTACTTGAAGAAGATAACACTTCTTTTTCCCCAGAACTACTTTCTTCAGAAGTACAATCAAAGAATTTGTAAGGTGAATGGCCAAACAACTATAAACTCTGCAAACCCCAGATAATCCGTTGCTAAATCGTTATCTGCAACAGGACAGTTCGGATCCTTGCTGGAGACAAGACAGACCACATGCATGGCCACTCAAGAGCCTCAGACGGTGAGGAACGGCTGGGCAACTTCCAGCCGCTCCTTCTATTGGGAACAGAGGTGGCAACAGCCTGGTTATTGGCTCTGGTCTCAGCCCCAAGGTCAGAAATGGGATGAGAAAGGTTTGCTAGGTGGGATTTTCACCCTTCTAGGCATATTTTGCCTTGTAAGACAGGCAGCAGCTTAGCTCTTAGTACAGAACCAGGCACCACTGGCGACTAATTTGCCATATTTTTTCCACTCCTGCTTCCCTACTATTGATTCTGACAGGCTGTGGCCTTTTGTTAATCCTCTTGGTGCAATTAGATGGATGACAAAGGCAACATAATGCAAAAACAGCTAAGCTAGCTAAAAATGAGTTTGTCCAAGTTGCAGAAGCTCTCCAGATGTGTAGGATAACACACAACTCTGGGAGCTGCTTTT